GAAATTGTATTAATAATTAATATTGAAAAAATCAAGGAAAGGAATCTCGAACCAAAGGAACATATGATAATTTTTGTGAAATTTTTATAAAAGAAAAAAGGAAAATAAAAAAATGATTAAATCAAAAAACTATAAAAATACTATTAAATGATCCCAAACTTTTGTAAGCTACCGTAAATAGGATTAATAAAAGCTTGTTATCAACATGTTTCATATCAACCAATTAGAAGCAAATAATATTATTATTGAAAATTTAAGATCTAATATAAGTAAAATTTTTAAAAAAAAACTATGAAAAACAATAGATACTTTAAAATAGCTAGAGACAATATATGAAAAAATGAATAATAAATTTTTCTTTGTTACAAAAATATATATTTTAATATCATTTCTAACTCAGAAAAATGATATTCTATCAATTAATCCTTTAAATATCCTGAAATTTTCTTGCCTTTAGTAAAGAAAATATATAATTAAGTCTATTTAAACCACCAGAAATTCAAGTTTTTAGTCAAGTAAGTTTGTAAACAATTAAGAGAAAATGGTAATGACTCTTTAAAACAAGCTTCAAATAGTTTTAAGAAAAGTATAAAAACTTTATTAATCCAGAAATATAATGACTTTTTGTAAATATCTTTTTTATATGTTGTTAGAGAATTAGTAAAAAGAGTTTTTTATAAATCCAATTAAAAGAATTTATTATAAATAAATAAGAATATATATACTTTAATTTGATGATTTATTAATTTTAAAAATGATTAGTTTATTAAAAAAATAAAATAATATTTTTTATATTTAACTTAAAGTAACTAGTCATAATTTAGTTTTGTTATATTTTGAATAGCTAAATTCTTTAATTGACATATTTATAGTAAAAACAAGTTAGTTGTTAAGTAGATCTTATTTTATCTCAATAAAAGTTAATTTCACAAATTAAAAAAAAAAAAAAAAAAGAAATTTTAAATTTAAATTTATAATACTGTATTTGAAGATTTATCAATTAATCAACCATACCATTTAAAATTTAATAATGAAATCAATTATTTAATAATAATTTTTGATTTTTTATAATATATAATTTAATAACATTCATATTTCATTGATTTTATAAATTTAGAAATAAACTCTTTTTGCTATCTTTGCATATTCAAATAACCTACTTAGAAATATCGATACCTATTTAATCATTACAATGTATGCTCATAACTTTTTACACAATATATTGTAAAAAAATGAAACTTATCTATCAAAAATATAATTTTTTATTAAATTTTGTATGTTTGCTTAACACAATAAGAACAAAACGCGTCTCTCTGCCGATAATTGGAGATCTGAGACATTAACAAAGGATAACGTCCTTTGGTTTCTCTCTTATTATTGCAAGATATGAGCTCTTTATGCATTCGATTAATGTGGGTAGTTTCTTGGCGCGTCGAAAATGGATATAAAGTTGTTGGTTCTCGTCAGCAACTAAATCTGCAAGATGATAACTTTTGCGCAAATTTCTAAAATAAGGTATGTAGATGTTAGGTTATGATAATTAATAATGAAATCAAAATTTAAATAAACGCACTCTGATATTATTTTTTGTGTTTTTTCGTATACATGATGCATGCGGAGTACAATATTCGGAACATAAATATCTTTTATTTGTTCCAATTCTTGTGTTCGAGGCTCATCTTAGAAAAGAAAGGAAAAGAGTGATATCATCATCATCATCACAGGGCCCCATAAATTCGGATTAGATACCTAAACAAGATAAATTACCTTCTTCATTTAAATAACCTTCCTCTGAATCACGTGCAAGAGCGTATAGAAATTTTTCAAAAAGTTTCTCCAAGGCTTCGGTGGCTTCCTTTATTTAATTATTTTTTTGAGAAAACTTAGAAAGCAAATTTTATACAGTAAGAGACTTAAATGATTTTGTCGTTATACCTTTATGCGCATAGACCATTTAGTAACATCACGAGGATAGGATGATTGGCTTGAAACATCAATGCAAACTTTGTTATTTCCAATCATAAAAAGAGGAAAAGAAAAGAAAAAGAAAATAGTATACTTGAGAGATTTTTCCCGTTCAATTTTCACCCAATCCTCGTTTTTACTAAAAAAATCAGTAAGCGTATAATAGAATGAATATTCACTAAGCACAGTGTACTCATATCCGGATTTTTTTTCATCAATGTTATAACTGGACAAGGGCGATTTCGGATTTGTAATTTCGAGGAAAAGATGCTTGACCGCATTCAGTTTTCCCGCTGCTGAAATTTAGACAAAAATTAGAAAGGATAAGAATAATGAAAATCTCGATTGTTATTCTTTGAAATGAAATCAATTTACCCAAAAATTTTCTGCACAGGGCATTGGCGCAGTCAAATGCTTCCACCACTTGATCCTTGTTGAAGGTCAACCATTCTAGACCACGAATCTTAATAATGTCATGTGAATCAACTGGATCGTTCGTTTCACGAAGTGGGGGATCAAGTGGGTTTATTGGAGTATCAGGAGGGTTCTCGTTGCGAATGGAGGCATAACGATATTTCTCCTTTCAATTTTATGAACGAATTATTAACAACTTGTGAGAAAATTTATATATTCTAGCAACGGTACAAGATTCTAAGGCAAACCTCGACTTTCGGCTCATCAAATATCATGTCAAACGTTTTTCTAGCAATTACTTTAACGTTTAGACCATGCTGCTCAGCCAATTTGTACAACCCATATCTTTCATCGTAACTTGCGGTAACGCCTGAATTAATAAATGACTTGTATCAGAAAGTTCGTTGATTTCTAGGATCCAATAGTCGTCAAGATATATGATCTACCTTTCAAAAACAAAGCGTAAGTTTCAACTGATAATTCTCTCGATAACTTCGAAGCATACAGGGCGATGATACTTTCCTGATTGTGGATTTCTAGAATAAGTTTTAAGAAGATTATTTTTTGAACAATCCGTAAAATAGTAAATCAAAGAACCTGTTGGGATTCAATTAAAAGTTCGGTATACGATTTGATTATATCGTCCGACTCTTGATCAGGTGATGAAAGCATCATGTCGCGCAAAAACAACACAAAATGAGCTGCGAAACGTATAATTTGAGAATAAGCATCATTGCTTATAAATTTCAAAATAATATTAGCGAGTGAAGAGAATTTTTTTGTGTTAGGATGGACCACAACGAAAATGTACACCTACTCTTTTTGTCTCAGTTGTTTATCTAACAATTCTTCTTTCAAGAATTTCACAATTTCATCAGAATTATTCAGAATGAAAAGTTCTTGAACTTTGTGGAAAAGTTTTACGAGAGGAGACCTAAAATTAACAGAATGGTGATATCTATAAATGCCTTTGTTCGTTTGATCAACTATGATCAAAATGAACAAGATTTACTTGTCAACTTTTAAAGCTTCAACCGAACGGAAAATGTCCTCGGGGGTGAAATTTAATAGATTTGTAGGAACCGGCATTTCTTCGTCACATACTTCCTTAGAGATACGACCACGTCGATCAAAGTACTTCATGAACATAAAGTGAGATGATAAATGAAATTAGATTAATAATCCAAGTCATACAAACATGAGACCATAAAGCACACACCTGCTCCTGTTTGCATTCAATCAATCCATTATAATATGCCCAGACGTAATCTTCCCATGTTCTACACACAGGTATGACCTTTTCACCGAAAAAAAAAAAAAGGAAAGAAAAAAAAAAAAAAAATAGAAAACAAGACCAATAAATATGAATTACTAGAATACATTTTAAATGACGTGATGTATCGCACTGTTAATGACAATCCCCTCTATTTGTTGAGCGTATCATATTTTACAAGGGAGTCATGTTCAGTCACTCGTTCAATATACCGTTAATTTCGATAATAACTCACATTATCAACATCGCCACATAAAACGGCATTGTATGCTCGTTCGTAAAGATCCAAACCGCTCTAACAATAAATGTGTCATAACGAAATTAGTCTATTTTAAAAATCGGACAATAATGTTATCATGATTACATATCCCAATTACCTCCCGCGCAGTCTGGTAATATATCGCACGCGTTAAAGATCTGTTTATGTTTCCCGAACCATTTACGGGCTCTCCGTTGGCTGATTTAATGTAAGAATGACATAACCAAGGTTTCACGTAACTAAGCTTTATAAAATGAAATAAAAGAGTAAAACTCACCATTCTGATTTTCATGGTAAATGACGGAACCTCCGATAGCAGCTGATCTAAAATGTTGACCATTTTTTTCACAAATATCACAAGCGTTATTTATCTGTCCGCGCCGTAAATATTCATATATCGATTTCGACAATTCTTTGTCGTGTATCTTCAGTCAACAAGTGAGTATAATATAGAGGGCTTAATATATCAAACACGTGAGATTGAATGCAACACAACAGAAACAATTTATACCTGGTCTGTAGAAAATAGAGAAATTTTGGTTCTGTATGGTCCGTCAGGATCAAGATATTTACTATTTTCATTGTCCTTTAAATTATATAAGATATGATTTCTTGTTTCTGACCAAACTTCATCATGTGTTTCCACAGGATTAAAAGGTGATGCCTTTTCTTGCAACCACTTGCGTACGATCTAAAAAAAAAAAAAAAAAGAGAGCACACATAAGATAATCTTGCTTCACAGACAGGATCTTGATTTAAAATATTGTAGAATACAGACACAATCTTCGGCAAAGTCGAGTTTCGTCGCAATCAATTCACCTAGCAGTTCACCTTCTGTTAAATATGATTTTGAAGGTATATTTATATCTTTTGGGTGTGTTGATCGGAGTCTTTAAATTGCAAATGTATTGTTATATTGAATTATTCCAAATAAGTATAATCACATGATTCAAATTAAAACTCACATTTGTAACTGATTTATTAAATTCCATGTATTTCTTTCGATCTCCCAAAGGTCATACTGTTTGTATTCTGAAGCGAACATTCTAACATGTTCGCCTTGAAATATTTTCAAGCTGTTTGTAATTTTACTCATTCGTCATCTTCTGTAGGCAGGTTAAAATAGAAACACTAGAATTTCAATACTAACAATATATCACATAATTTCTCATAACTTTCTGGCGTCTTTTGCGAATCCATTTGCTGGCAATTTTGTGAGTAAGCTCTAGCGAATCGAATGTATACTTCATTCACGCCGGAGTATTCACCTGAGTTGTTCACGAGAGAATCGCGTCAGGACCTTTGTCGAAAATATACGGTTATCAGACGAGTTTTTCAGTTACCTTCGACCAGACCTAATTCCTGTAATATTAAAAATGTAAGTTCACAAAGTGAATAAAATAATGTCACCTTCTAAGAAGTAACTGCTAGAAATCGTCCAAATGCCAAGACCTGCTGAAACCGACATTGTTAAAGTAGCTACTTGAATTCCCGACGAATGAGCGATTCGAAATCGAAAACGATCTCGGAACTTGCGAGTTGGGCGGATAAAAACGTGTTAAATCGGCAACACGAAGTGGTGTATCTGAGGTTGGAGGACTGTCAACTGAAAACATGTGTTATGTTTTTTTGATATCAATAAGAAGAGTACGTATGTTCGTCGAGTGACACGATATATGAAGATATGAAGTTTCACGAATTAATCACGTGAGCAAATTTTATTTTTATTACAGGGGTACTAAACGTGGTAACTAATACAGACATTCGAACTTTCGATGCTACTTAGTCATGACAGACTCTACCACCTCAATAGAAACTTTAGCCGTAGAAGGTTTATCAACTCTTAATAGACTATTAGAAACGTCCGGTGAAGTGTTTGCTTCTTTGTCAAAATATTCCACTTCAAAAGATAATACCGAGGAAGCCATTCGACGTGAAGTTATGGAGTGTCACAAAAAATATAAAGGTGTTTCTGGAGAATTGAAGAGTTTGGTAGAGAAAATTGATGATATCCAGGAAGAGAAGCGCAAAGAGGCGAAGGTAAATTTTAATTATCACTTTTTTTAGTCAATTCTTATTATATTCTATGAACGATAATTCGATTCTTCTGTTATTTTCAGCTTAAAGAAAATAATATGGACATATATGATCCTTCATCAGATCCAATAATTGTCGAATTAATAAAAACGCGTAGTTCTCTTCTTCAGGTTAAAATAGTTTCCCGTATTCATTCAAATCGTTCCTAGTTAAATTCTTAATAAATTTTTTTTTCCGTGCAAGCAGGAATCGGATACTCAACGAACACATCTTACGAATCTACTGGAGCAAACATACAAACTACAATTCCTCATACAAACATTATTGGCGAGTAGTGAACAAGAAGTAATAGCGTCTCCTTCGGAATAGATATATTTTTGTGAGAAGGGATTCATTTTCAGAATCGTGATCTGAATATAAAAAAAGAAAAAAGATGATAACTAGGAATCGATCGTTAAAATGTATTATATTAAAAAGTGAACTGTATAAAAATAGAGTACTTTATCATAGTTTATAAGTGATCAATTAAAATTGAAAGTCAGCTTTCCTTGTTCTTCTTTTTTTATTCT